CCCCCCCCCCCCGCCGCATGCACCGGACCCTCGTGGAGAGGAGGGGATGCCTCTGGGGGCTCCGCAGGGTGGGTGGGGCGAGGGGTGCATCGGGGCTGGCCCCTCAGCTGCCCGACCCCCAGATCCCTCCCCTGCCCCAGGTGTTCCCAATAGTCCCGTGGGGGGGGGGGGCGCCTGGACGCGGGGCTAGGGGCTGGGACAAGGGGTGGCCTCCGCCTCCCATGGGTCCTCAGCAGCAGGTGGGCCCTTTGGAAGACAGCCTCCCTGGGGTGAGGCTCACGGTCCCCGGAGGCCCACCCTGGCTGCCGCGCCCTGGCTCCTGGAAGTTTATGTGCTTTAGTAAAAACGACTAAATCACTGTGGTGTGGCATCTGTGGTGTGGTTTCTGTGACCCCAGGTACGCAGCTTGGCTCGAGTCCCTGGAGGGGGCGCTCGGTCTGGCACCATGCTGTGGCGGGGTCCAGCCAATATTTGCTGAGTGAACGCATGAACGAATGAAGTCAAGCCCGGAGGAGGCCAGCAGGAGGTGTCCGTGGACGTGCCCTTGAGGCCGGGCCCCCAGGAGGCACCCGGAGGCTCCGTGTGGGGCAACCACATGTGCGCTGGAGTTCCCCAGTGTGGGACACACAGCCACGTCACCTCCCCCAAAGCTGGACTTCCAGCCCCCCCCCCACCCCCGTGGGCAGCACCACACGCAAGGACGGCCCCGGGAGAAGCCACTGTCCCAGGGTTGGACACCCGGACAGAGTTGAGGGTGGCAGGAAGACAGGTGCCGTCCTGGCCCACGGGGAGCTTCGTGTGTCCCAGGGGTCTCCCAGGCTGTGGCCAAGGGGTAAGGGAGAGCCAGCTCCATGTGTCTCTGGGGTGAAGCCAACCCCGGTAAAGGGTCCGCAGGCGGGGCGGAGGGGGAGGTTCAAATCTCCCCAGGCACTGCGTCCTGGCCAGCAGCCCCTCGGACATCTGCCAAGGCCAGGCCACAGAGTGTCTTTGTCCCCAGGAGCCCGGCAGCAAGGCCCGGGCACGCTGGCCCTGGGGGCCGCTGAGAACGCCCTCTCCAGGCCTCTGAGCACTGGCTCTGGGGCCACCTGGGAGCCAGAGGCAGCCACCCAAAGGCCAGAGGATGCCAGGTCTCAGGCCAAGTGACCACTGGTCACCGTCTGGGCCGAGGCTCGGGAGCTAAGCAGACAGACACGGTACAATGCTCGAGGGTTTGTCCCCTGGCGCACGCGAGGCAGGCAGGTGGTTGTACGTCCTCCCGACCCCGAGTCCTGGACGCTGGTGGCAAACCTTTGCCCGCAGCAGCACGGCCTCCCTGCTCTGGGCCAGGGGGGTCAGCACTGGGACCTCCTGGGTTGGGGCCTAGGACAGGCCAAGTACCGAGGCGAAAAGCACGGAAGACGGCCACCGCGAGGTATCCCAGTGCACCGACCAAGGCTGCTGAACTAAACAGTAGTGACCACAGCAAATGCTAGGGAAGGTGTGGGGGGACGGGCGGGCAGGTAGGACGGTGCAGCCCCTCAGGGCGACCGTTTCCCGGGAACTCTGCACACGGTCAGCGCGAGAGCGCGTCCCAGAGACAAGAGACGCCGTGCACACACCCGCGCCTGCCTGCTGACAGCGGCTTTGCTCCATTAGAGCAAACGCTCGAGACCGCCCGAGTGTGCCTCGCCTGTGAAGGTTAGACCGGCTCTGGGCGTTTATCCGTGGAGCTCAAATGAGGAGGGAACCACTGACCCCTGCAGGGACTTCAGAAGCACCACGCGGAGTGCAGGAGCCCCTACCAGCGAGGTCAGACACCAGAAGGTGCCATTTACGCAACGCTCTCAAGGTGACAAAACCGCAGAGCGGAAGGACAGACTGGTGCTGCCGGGGGGGGGGGGAGGCGTCAGGGGCGACCAGAGATCTCTGCGCCAGAAACCACCGCACAGAACTGCACACACAGGAGCTCCGGCCCCTGCCGACCCGCCCAAAGGGAGCGCGGTCCGAGGCCCGTGCGCGGTGCTGCGCCTGCGGGTCTGGTCTCTGGCTTCAGCAGCCACCCCTGGGGAAGCGGTGGGAAAGGTGCCATCGACACTATGTTCACAACTGCCTGCGCATCATCATTCAGCGTAAAAAGTCGAAAAACAACTCATCTTTGATAACATCGAGAGGTGGTGATTCCCCTCTTTTTGTTTAATTTTTTTTCCTTTTCTCCAGCACATACACATACTTCTTCCAGTTAACAAAAGAAGCTAACTAATGATCGGGGAATAAATTCAAATCAGGGCAGCCTTGGATATATGAGCTTCCTTCTAGAAAGATGTTGGCACGCACCCAAACAACAAGAATAAAAGCCTCTGGAAATATTTCATCCGTGCAGGACCACATTTTTTTCCTTCTGGTGTGTCTGCTCCCGTGAGCGAGATGGAACGTGAGTGCCGGTCCGGGCATCGGAGGCTGTGAAATAACTTTCTGAATTATGCCCCAGCAACATAACAAATCACATTATCAATTAGCTTCTGTAACACAAGTGGCATTCCGTAATATATTCAAGCATGAAAAAATTGCAAAGGTGGAATTTCTGTAACCCTAAAAACTATAAGGAGAGAAAGGATCACTTGGAATTTATTGGTGATAAAAGACAGAACGTAATTGGAACCGGACAGCCCTCCCAGGAAGTGGGACAAGATCTGCACATTCAGAATGTCTCGAGGGCCCTGAGGCTCCAGGAGACCGCTGTGCCCACGCCCCGGCTCTGCCTTCCCTGCACGGGGTGACCCTCACGGGGCAGGGGGTGGGGGGCGGTCAGAGGGGAGTCTGACCTTGAGCTGGTCGCTCTCGTCTCGAGCCCCGTCTTCTCCTCTGGGAAGCGCAGCTCCAGGGCTTGGACCTCAGACCCGCGTGTCGCCACCCCCCCCACCCCGGGCCGGCCGCGACAGGGCCCCTCACTTGCAACACCTTGCAAACTCCGACGTGTTCTCTGCTTGTCAGTCGCCTTTTTACAAGTTCCATTTATTAATTTATGTCTTGAAAATGGTGATTTCCATGTTTTCAAAACAAGGACTTTTTTTAAACAATATGTTCTACTGTAGGGAATTTGTACTCACAGCCCACACACGACGTTCTGACGGACCGCTGGATGTCTCTCCAGCCCGCTCCCGGCGTGCGGTCAGCCGGTCTCCTGTGTTCTCCCTCAGCACCACCCAGGACCCCCCATTTCAAGTTGTGGAGATCAGAATTCTCGTTAAAGCATCTCCGCCCTCCAATAGGCCGCTTGCCAACGCGGGAGACCCAGCATGGCCGGACAGGAGGGCCTCTGGGCACGGAGGGGGGTCCCCACAGATGGGCCAGGGCAGCGTGGGGCTCCCACCTCACCGCGGACGTGGGCCCGGGGCCCGGGTCAGCCGGGGTCGGCACCTCGCTCTGGCCAGGACCCCCGCGGGGCTCGCATCCGTGTCACCCGTAAGGTGGGTCCCGCGGCCCCGGGACCTGTGTCAACCTCATCCCCACGGAACAGCGTCACCCAGGCACAGCCAAGGTCCATCCTCTGTGATGTGGCCGCCACAGGCCCCACTTGTCTCAGCGCCCACCGCCTCCCCGGCCTCCGGCCATCCTGGCTGGTGGTCTGGGCTCCTGGGTCCCTCCCTGCGGCTGCCAGCCAGTCCTCCTGGGATGGGAAGTCTGTGGTCCCAGCAGACACCCGTCTGCCAGGGCCTCGGGCACCGGGCCGGCCCTCCTCGGCAAGCAGGAAATTCACAGTCACGGCCGAAGCGGGCCCCCCAGGTGGATGTGGACGAAGAAATTAGGTGGGTTAATAAAGCTAAGACGTCCGCAGACCCTTGTGCGTCAATGTCTATTAAGCTCCCTCATCCAGCACCGGTCTCCAATAGTTTAATTTCTGTATTAAATAATTAAAACTCTATTTTCAATTGCTGTGAACAATTGTTTTCCTTAATGATCTTCCCAGAGGAGCCAGTAATTTTGTATCTTGTAAAAATGATTAACTGGCATCATTATCCCATATCTCTGAAATATAACTGAGCAGCTTCAGGGAAGGCCATTTGTATTCAATTAACGCTCCCTTGCATTAAGACGGACAATATTACTTCACGCCACGGGCAACCCTGCTGTCCCCTCGTTTTATTATGACGATGATGGAGATAGAAACAACCAGTTTAATTATCCCATTTCCAACAGAAATCAATTTTCAACGTGTCCTCACCCTCACACAGAGGAAGAGGCCACAGTGCCATTCCGGGGAAGGGCAGGCCTGCGTGGGTCCACCCACCCTGCCGCCCGCGCCCGGCTCTGGGCCCGGCCGCGCGCACGGGCACGGGTCCCCGCGAGGCTGCAGGCCTGGACCTCGGGGGGCCTGCAGACCCTGCAAGGACCTGCTCCCGCCTCCCTGAGCGTCGCCCCTCCTCGTCACCCCTTGTCCTGCCCCCCGGCACCCGGGCCCCCAGCCTTGGTTTCCTGCCCCATGCTGCTGACACTGGTGCCCGCCGTGAAGGCGGATTTATTGCCCCGCACGGCTGCCATCGTCAGGGTGATTCAAGGGACGCGCCCTGCCTCGCCGCTCAATCACTCCACGCTGTTGGCCAGTATAATCTAATTGTTTGACATTTTTATCACAATTCATTGAGACCAGAAGGAGATGACTAGATTAATACCCCCGTGCGCTTGGCTAATGGCTGGGATGAAGCCGATGGGCCAAATTACAGGGGACATTTTCTTATTACAGAGTTTAATTCTTTGTGACAAGAGGCGGGAGACGGCGTTCAGACGGAGGCGGCTGCCCTCAGCCCGGTGGCCTGAGATCCGGGGTCCCCCAGGCCCTCCCCCTTGCCTGGGCCGGGGACACGGGAGGCGATGGGGACGCCCAGCCCCGGGCGATAGGGGACCAAGGGCCATCGGCTGAGCCAGAGGCTCCCCGGGGAGCCTCCAGTTTGAGATGAGGGTCCGTGGGGGAGGCCGGCCGAGGTCGGGGAGCGGCTCCTGGCTTGCAAGTGGGATTTTCTCCACCCAGGAGGCAATGTGTCCCGCGCCCGGTTGGATTTCCTGTTCATGATTTGTCCCTCTACTGGGCCCATCGGCTTCCCTTTCTGCTATTAGCGCCTAGTTCTCTCCCACACGGACACTAATCTTTTCTGTCGCAGACACCGAAACATCCTTCCCAGCTGTCCATTCGCCGTGGGGTCTGTCTTACCGTGATGGGTTTTGTCCCGCAAACATTTTACGCAGTTTTCTGGCATCACGTGTGACTTTCATCTGTCATCATGGTCAAAACGCCAGGTTCTGGATCCAAACCGCATGGAGTCAGACCCACCTCTCCAAACGGCAGGTCTGGGGGGGCCAGGTGAGCACGGAACTGGCTCACGGGGGGCCGGGAGGAGCAGGGGGCTCAGGGATGGTGCCCGCGGGCTCAGGGGCCACCAAGCGGCCAGCAGATGCCGCAGGACTGCCAGGTGAGGGGGGCTCGGGCCAGGTGGGTGGGAGGGGCAGCGGATCCCACGCCGACTGGCCTGGGCCCTGCACGCTCCTGGCTGCAGGACGCAGAGCCGGCCACCTGCCGTTCTCCCTGGCCCGGCCTCCAGGGTAGCAGGTGCAATAGCCCAGGGGCTCTGGGTCTCTGGCACCTTCCTTCCTCTTGGCCCAGGAGCAGAGGTTCGAGCCTGGCTTGCTGAAAAACCACAGGGTTAGGGGCTGGAAGCCCAAACAGAAAGAGGCACATATGAGCTGGGGAGGGGAGGAGGCCCGGGGGAGGCAGAAGAGGGTTCGACCTTCCCCCCACCCCCACCCCAAAGTGGTCAGGCCCAGGGCATCGTTCACGGGGCTGCCCCTGGGGCTGAGACTCCCACTCGGAGCCCCAGCTGGAGAGCCCGATGCCACCCTGGGTCCACTCCCTCGTCTTGGGGGGAGACGGGGCTGTGGACCCCAGCCTCTGGGTCCATTCCATGCGGCAGGGAGGGCTGATCCCTCCTCAAGGTCTCCAGGATGACCGAGACGTGACCCAGCCTGGGCAGTGCAGCCTGGGCGGCCCTGGGGCCCAGGTAAGCCTGGAGGCTTCTGGGAGCCCCACCTGAGCACCCCCTCCCGCCCTCCCCCACGTATTCCCAGGCCACTTGCCCCAAATGCCCAGGGAGGCTGGTGCCTGCAAGCGTCCG